TTGCCCTAGAATTCTTAACATGTAGTATTAGAGCGAGGTTCTAGGGCAGAAGAGGTCGGTGCACAAAATATGAAGGAGGATTCAACGATTTGGCTGAGGAGTTCAGCTAGGGCTTCAACTAGGGATTCGAGGAGTTTGATGAAGAGACGAATTTCAGTGGACGAGAGGAGTTCACGAAGGGCTTCGGTGTTTCGCGGAGGAGTTTGCAAAACGCGACACACAGGCGTGAGTGTTCTACACCTCAACCTCTTCTTTGCAACCGAGGCAGAGAGGCTCGCGGGAAGCATTTCAACGAGGGATTCAACAAATTCGTCGGTTCGGTAATTTGGCTTCAGCGTGAGATAAAGAAGATTGTTGGAGGAGTAATTTAATATGACATTGTCTAGTGCAAAATTCAAAGTGGTGAAGTATGATGAAACATGTAACTTCAGATTGTGGCAAATAAGGGTAAAGGATTTGTTGGCACAACAAGAGATCTTAAAGACTTTGCGGGCAGCAAAACCAGAAACCATGGAAGATGAAGATAGGGAAGAATTGCAATAACGAGCAGTAGCATCCATAAGTTTATGTATGACAGATGAAGTTATGCATCACATAATAAATATAAAATCTCCAGGAGAGGTATGCAAGAATTGAAAACTCATTTTATGTCCAAATCTCTAAAAAATAAATTGTATCTGAAGCTAAAACTGTATGGGTTAAAGATGCAAGAAGATTCTGATCTGACACAACACGTGAATGTCTTCAATCAAAAAATCACAGATTTATCACGACTTGATGTGAGTATTGAGGATGAAGACTGAGCAATGATTCTTTTGTGTTCATTGTCTTTCCCTTATGAACACCTAGTGACTGTTCTTACATATAAGAAAGATGCAGCATTGTTGATTAACAACCAGCGGGAAAAAAATGTAGGGCAAAACACTCATGGCGCTATTTTATAGCAATCAGGATCGTGGAAGGAATAAATAGGAGGCTTATCAAAGACAAAATTTCATATCAAAGTCTAAAGACAAAAAAACGATTCATTGTTATAAGTGCAAGGAGTCGGGTCATATGAAGAAAGACTTTCCAAAGCTCAAGAAGTAGACTAAGGAGAAACGTGATGCATCATCCAAGTCTGTAAATGTGGTGCAGATTGACAATTCAGATTACAGTGATGGTGGTATGTTTTCCATTTCATCAACTCAGTTGATGGATGCATGAATTCTTGACTCAGGATACTCTTATCACATAACACCTAACAGGAAGTAGTTTACTTTATTCATGTCAACTAATTCTGGTTATGTATATTTAGGTGATGTTAGATGTTGCAATATTGTTGGTATTGGTGATGTCAAGATTAAGATGTATGATGATACTGTTAGAACATTATGTGATGTCAGACATATTTCGGATTTGAAGAAGAATTTGATTTCTTTAAGCACTTTACATATAATTGGTTTTATTCCTAAAGCAGATGAGAATAGGGAAACCATCAAAATTGTTAAGGGTGCACTGATTGTGATGAAAAGAAAGTTAACTACAGGTAATATCTACAAACTGTTGGGAAGTACAGTTGTAAAGTACAGTTAGTACAGTTGTAGGTGGAGTTCATTCTGTGGAGTCAAATGATGATAATACAAAACTGTGGAACATGCGTCTTGGTCATCTTAGTGAACGTGGGATGGTTGAATTGCATAAAAGAAATTTGTTGCTTTGTGTTAAAAGCTGCAAGCTTGATTTTTATAAGTTTTGTGTTCTTGGATAACAAATTAGGGTCAGTTTCATGAATGAAAAGCACAAAATTGAAGAGATGTTTGATTATGTGCATTCTGATGTATGAGACCCTATCAGGGAATCGTCATTGAGAGAAGCTATGTATTAGGTTACCTTTATTGATGATTTCTCCAGGAAAGTTTGGGTGTATTTCTTGAAGCGAAAATCTGAAGGTTTCTCTAAAGCAAGTTGTGGAAAGCATAGGTGGAGAACCAAATTAGCAGAAATATCAAGTATTTGAGGTCTGATAATGACATAGAGTACACAAATTCATAATTTCAAAAATTTGGTGAGGAGCATAGGATTTAAATGCATTTTTCAGTGCGCTAGACACCACAACAGAATCGTGTTACAGAAAGGATGAACAAGTCCTTAACTGAAAGAGCAAGATACTTGAGACTAAATGCAGAGCTTCTTAAAATCTTCTGAGCAGAGACTGTGAGCATGGTGTGCTACCTCATCAATAGATCATCTTAGACATTATTGGGTGACAAAATTGCCAAAGAGGTATGAACAGGTAATACAGTTAATTTTGACTACTTATTAATTATTTGTTGTCCTGCTTATGTGCATGTATCTGGAGATGAAAGATCAAAACTTGATCCAAAATCTAAGAAGTGCATCTTTTTGGGCTATAAGAAAGGTGCCAAAGGATACAAATTTTGGAATCCGATTACAAAAAAGATGGTGATCAATAGAGAAGTCATTTTTTATGAGCAGTTTATGTTGCAGCAACATCAAGTCAAGGTGCCAGAAAAATAACTCCAGTTTATATACAGTGTAGATGTATCGAGAACAACATTCAATAGCAACTAAGAAACTTGAAAGTTCAAATCCAACACCTGGTGATTCCAATACAGATGATTTGCAGAATTACACTCTAGCCAAAGATAGATAGAGACACACCAATATAAGGTCTCCTAGCAGATTGAGTTATGAAGACTTGGTCTCTTGTGCACTTTTCATCAGTAGCGATGATCCAGTCACCCTTCAAGGAGCTATCACCAGTAAGAAGAAAAGAAATGGATGGGTGTGATGGTTGAGGAGATAGATTCTTTGCAGAAAAATCACAGAAGGGAGTTAGTTCAACTTTCATATGGAAAGAAGGCTATTGGCTGCAAGTGGGTATAGAAAATGAAAGCAGTAGTATTAGAAAAAGAAGGAAAAATGTTCAAGGCTTGACTGATAGCAAATAAATTTTCACAGCAGAAGGGGATAGATTATGATGAAATATTTTCTTCAGTGGTCAGACATACTTCAATCAGAGCAGTACTTGTATTAGTAGCTATCTGAGATCTGCATCTAGAGCAGATTGATGGTAAAACTGTTTTCTTGCATGATGATCTAGAGGAACAAATTTACATAGAGCAGCCAGAAGGGTTCACTCAACTTGGATAGGAGCATCTGGTTTGCAGCTTACAAAAATCGATGTATGAGTTGAAATAGTCTTCAAGACAATGGTACAAACAATTCGACTTTAACATGATTCATATTGGCTACAAGCGATGTGAGTATGATTATTGTGTTTATGTTAAGAGTCTTGATCATGGTTATATTTTTTTTCTGTTACTATATGTTGATGATATACTGATTACTGCAAAGAATATGCATGATGTCATTGGTTTGAAAGCTTTATTAAGCCAAAAATTTGACATGAAAGACTTGGGTGCTACAAGGTGCTACAAAAAAAGAAAGACTTGGGTGCTACAAAAAAAATTTTTGTAATGAAGATTCATCGAGATAGAGGCTCAAGAAGACTATGTTTATCTCAATGAGACTATATTAAGAAAGTGTTAGACAGGTTTGAGATGAGCAAAGCAAAGTTTGTGAGCACTCCATTGGCAAATCATTTTAAACTTTCGTCAGAACAATGTCTTAAAACAGATAAGATAATCAAAGACATGATAAAGGTTCCATATGTCAGTTCAGTCGGCTGCTTGATGTATGAAATGGTATGTACTCACCATGATTTGGCTCATGTTGTTAGTTGAGTCTACAAATACATGTATAAACCAGGAAGACGACATTGGGAAGTAGTCAAGTGGATTTTCAGGTATCTGAAGGGTATTGTAGGACATAAAGCTATTTTTGGCAATCAGCAGAATGATTGTTCAGTTATGGGGTACGTGGATTCAGACTATGCAGGTGATTTGGATGACAAAAGGTCTACAAGCGGACATGTGTTTACTCTTGGTAGAGGGCTTATATGTTGGAAATCAACAGTTCAATCTATTGTGACATTATCTACAACTGAAGTTAGAGTACATGGCACTAGCTGAAGCTGCTAAAGAAGTCTTACGGCTTACTGGGCTAGTAAAGGAACTAGGTGTTGAGCAAGGTAGAGTTTAGTTGCATTGTGATAGTCAAAGTGTCATTTATCTGGCTAAGAATCAGGTGCATCATGCGAGAACCAAGCATCTTGATGTCGGGTATTACAAGATCAGAGAATTGATTACTTCTGGTAATATACTGTTGCAGAAGGTTCATACTAATGAGAATGCAGCTGATATGTTGACCAAACCACTTACTATCAACAAGTTCTTGTATCGCTTGAACTTGTTGAGTATTCACGGTTTCTAGACAAGCATGGTGGCCCAACCAACTTTGATCTATGAGAAACTCTCAGGCATCTTTTCTCTTAAAGGGTGTAATATTCACCAAGGTGAAAATTTGTTAGGTACAACTCATATGTCATATAAGGGACAGTTGCTAGAGTGAAAAGGAGCGAGCCAGCGCAGCTCGTGAGCCAAGTGGAGCGGAAGTATCTGTTAAATCGGGAGACTTTCGCTATGTCCCACCTCCCCTGGTACGGTACTAGGGTAATTTTGTAATTACATTTTATACACCAGAGATATATAAATATATGTTGTATTGTAACCCTAAGGGGATCTTGTACTCTTTGCTAAAATTAAGAGAAAGCTGCCGCTCTGCTTCCGAAGAAGTAGACATCTTTGTCGAACCTCGTTAAATTTCTATGTTTTTCTTCTGGATCTGTGTCGATTCTTGCATTTTTTTCTTTGCCCTAATTTCTCAAGAGTTGGATCAGCACATCATCAAACAAAGAAAAAATAAAACTCACGAGCATTTCTCATAAACTAAATTGGGAAAGTCACTATGAGTTAAAAACGCAAATTTAAACAACTACAATAATGTGAATGCTTTATTCAGCTGAAAACTAGAGCATTTTCCATTATTATATTCATGCAAATTACGAGGAGTTAATTCCATTCCTATCCTTCAAATTTTGATTATTTATAAAACTAGCATATCCTCTTTCTTTCATTTGTTAATTTCTCTTCCAAATATCAGGAATCACCACATAAAAAACCAAACAAATTGACCATAACATTCAACAATTTTCATTATTATCAATGCCACGTAAGCAATGAAATGAAAATCATCCCCAAAGTTTGGGCATAAGAAGCTTCCCTAGTGTCACCTAGGCATAAAGATCTATACCCCAGAACTTAGCAGGTTGATTGGTACGGTAATTCCTATCAATGGCCATGATTCTATTCATGTCCTCATCTGATATAGTGAAGTCAAAAACCTGAAAATTCTCCTGCAGTCTCTCCAGCTTTGAGGACTTCGGGATGACTACTGTGTTCCTTTGGATGCCCCAGCGAAGAATAAACTGAGCTACAGTCTTGTCGTACTTCTTCGCCAGCTCCTGCCAAGTCACAAGAAAATAAATCATCATGAATGGGGCGTTTACATGCATACATACCACCATATTCCTAGGTATTTACATAACTAACACCTAAAATTTACCTTTTACAATTATACCACCAAAATCATTCAATTCACATGAAAAATATCATTATTTTCACTTTTAAAAAGTGAAATACACCTTTTTTATGAAAATGTAAGATGGCATATTTGTAAAAATTGAGGTTTAGGTGTTAGATATGTAACTACATAGGGATTGAGTACTATGTATGTAAATCTTTCTATATACATATGATTTTATTTTGTCAAAAAGGTAAATATTAACCTGAATGGTAGGATCATCGAGGCAAGAGAGACTGCCAAACCACTCAGTATTGGCAGCAGCACCACCCAAGGGGGTGTGAGCTGTGACACAAATCCTATGCTTCTGACAGAATTTAACAAGAGAGTCACGTTGGAAATAAGGATGTGATTCGATCTGGTTGACTGCAGGTTTTATTTTGGAGTAAGCAAGACAGTCTCTTGTGAGAAAGATGTCGTAGTTACTGCAGCAGAATAAGAAACTCAGGTCAGCTAAATCGATAAACATCATAAAAATAAGTAGCTAATAGATTATATGTTGTGCAACTTAACTACTGCTTTAAAAACAGTAAACGTTTTAGGTGGAGTTGTGAGTTTGCTTTTGTGGAAAGGTTCCGGTGGCAGAGACAGAGCTCCCCTCCTTGGAAGATTCAATGAATATTCCGAATGATACCAAATATTTGTAGTTATATCATTGAAGATATTTATTACTCTTTTCTAATGCCTGGAGGCATTCAGATTTTTTGTTGCAGTTTGAATTGTGAGCTTTGGTCAGGCATTTTCAATTTTTTTTTTTTTAGTTTGATTATTTATATGGATAAAGCTCCAAGAAAAGTTCTCTCTTCAAAATATGAGCTTCACATTTCTATAACTAGTGTAATGTACAACTCATAATTAAAGGATGCTTCTCATCTTCTTAACAGTAATTTTATCACAAAAATTTGGTAAAGATTACAGCATCGATTTGGTGAAAAAAAAAATGATGAAATTTGAAAATTGTCTTGAAACAACATTTAATTTTTGGAGAGATTCATATATCAAGAAAGACTTAAAAATTTGGGACATTTTATTTTTAGCAGCCTGTGTGGATTATTTGGAAAGAGAGAAACAATAGATATTTCTTCAATAGAAAAGAAATAAGAAAAAATCATATGGCTGAACATTATATCAGTCTTATTTTCTTTCAACCTTTCATTTCACATTACTAAGAAGGTGGTGGACATTAATCTACCAAATAAGACTTTGAATTTGTATTGTTCTACAGTTTATCCTGACAGTTATTTTATATAGATGTTCTTCATCTTTTCTCTGTAATATTATTCCGCTAAAAATTTTCTTTTCTTCCTTCAAAATGAGATCTTACAAGCTTTTCAATAAAAGGAAAAAAGAAGTTAAAATTTTCACTTTAGCCGAATTTGAACTTGCAATTAAGAGAAAAGACATGTAGCATTATAGAAAGGGAATCATGATTAATAGAGAGACTTCAATTTAGTTTATGTAGGCCAATTGCACGGAAAAATTTTCAATCACAAATGCAAAAGTAATTCATAATATATCGCAAAATGACAGCTTTTATCGGCCTGAAAGTACAAAAAAATCATGCATTGATTATGGGATGGATGCAAGATTAAATTTACACTAAATAATTCTAATGAAAAAAAAAAAAACCTAACATTACAATATGCATTGATTTTTTTTTTTTATCAAGTCCACCAGACAATTAATCAATGTTGATCAAAATTAGATGCTTTAAACTATTTCATAGATAATATAATATCTCAACAAAATTATTTGTATTTGATTATTCTACGATTATTTATAATAAACATAGCGAAAATGTGAAAGTAAATATAAAAACTACCAGTACTATTGAAACTATCGAACTAGAATTTCATTTGGAGGTTCAAAATCATAACTGAAACAAATAATTTAATCAAGAATTTAATTATTCAAATAACACTATATTCGGTGCATTCTAAGATCTTCGTTTTGCCCGGACAAACTTATGATACTTGTGCTTCTATAGATTGAAGCATTCCTCCACATTATTATCTTGAAGGATGATATTGGCACCCTGCCAAAGGGCTTTTACCTTTAAAGGGGCTCATCCAATTAACGATAAAAAAGTATAGTACAAACTAAAATAGAATGATGCATCCCTCTTAGAAATCCTCATGATTTCTCATTTATTGCTATAAAATGATTTTAATGCTTAGCTGAAGAAAATGAAATCTCATAATGGGATGAGAGATCATTTGAACGATTAAAGTTCATCATGTTTTTCCTTTATACTAAAAATAAAATTTATTCGACTATGTGGCTTCTATGATGAAGAGCCTAGTGATTGTATTGGATCAAAAGTGGATGATTTGTGTTGGGTAATGATAACTAAGGAATGGAGTTAATGATGGTAAGCATCTGAAGCATCATAACATGACTTGTGGTAGCAGCTGAGATCAGGCTTGTAAATGAAAGGTTAAAGCCTTATCTTGTAGGCAGCAACATTATACGAGCAAAGCATGATTGACTTAAAGGGCATATTTCTAATCTTGGCAAGGGGAAACATATGAATGGAATGAAATATGGATATTGTTTATATAAAAAGAATGACGATGATCATACACAAATTCATCAAATCAAAAAAAGAACTCGGGATCTTCTCCCACGTAATCTGAACCTAGAATCGAGCATTCAAGCTGCCTGACTACATCCAGCCACCAACGATATCAACAATCATAGAGTAGAGAGTATCAACGGATTCAAGGCAAAATCACTGTCCCAGTGGTGCTAATGATTCAAAGTTTTGCCAAGATCCTTGAGGATGTTTCATAGGGTTGAGATTCTCTTTCTTTTATGTGGTTAAAATATGCATCTTTGCTCCAAACAAAATTATAAAACGCTTGCACATTTCAATAGGAGCACTTTTAATCAAACTTGTATTATGAGGTGGAGCATGGTGGCCGTGGTAATTCAAAAAACCTCTCTGAGTTTTAAATATCTATGAACAGATGAGAGCAAGTGGAAACATTCAAAGCAGTTCACATTTTTCTTATAAGCAGCTTGAGAGGACTAGACACCAACTACATGGCGGCTGAGGTAGTGGTGCTATGCATTGTTACCCTCCCCAAGCATATCAAGTTCCTACACATGAAGGAAGACAACCAACATGGCAAGGTGAGCCCAATCCCACATTGGTTTAGCCAATTCAAGCATGTTTAGACTCCAAATTGCTCAAATCAAGCATGCACAAGGTTCGTTCGACAAGATTGTGATACGCCTCAGAACCAAAATCAACGAACAAACCACGACGAAACGACAATAGATAGGTGAAAAAAAGCAAACAATTGTTGTTCTTAAAAAAATCAAAGGAAAACAAGCAAAATACAAGGTTAATATATTTTTCAAGAGGTAGATTGTCTCTCCCATACCCTAGACATCGCTAGGAATACCACATAAAGAAAAAAACAGCAGCCAAATAAAAACATGCATGAAAGAAAACAAACCCAAGGTTCCTCTCTTAAAAGAATCTTCCCACAACATTTAAAAACTCTTCTTTCCCGCTTTCCCTCCTGGACCAGTACCCGCCTAGGCGTACTGGGCGTAACATGACTTCCCTCTCAAAGAAGTACCTTGTCCTCAAGGTGGAAAGAGGAAACTGCTTGTGGAACATCAGAGCAGTCATTTCCACTTGACCAATACATCATTCGTCCCCTTATTCCTCGGTGCACTACTTTGATCTCTAATGGATCCAAAATCACCTCCAAGTCCTCCTTCAGCATCAGCAATAGTGTAGATGAGAGTGTGTGATCTCCAATCGCTTGTCTTAGCTGGGATACATGGAAGACCAGGTGTTGTGCAGATGATGATGGTAACCTCAAACGGTAGACCACTGCCCCAATGCGTGTCATCACCTCATAAGGCCCAAAATATCTCGATAAAAGTTTCTCGCTCCTCCTAGCCAATGTCTTCTGTCGCTAGGGTCTTAGCTTCAAGTAGACCATGTCCCTTGGTTTGAATTGTACCTCTCTCCTGTGTCCATCTGATTTCCTCTTTGTGATTTGTTGAGCACACAGAAGACACCCCTTGAGCTCTACTAGTATTTTGTCTTATTCCTCCAAGTGTTGATCAAAGCAGAATACTTGTGTAGTGTTATGTCCATAATGTATTAAGTGAGGTGGATTCCGCCCATACAATATCTTGAAAAAGGGTTGTCTATGCTGTGGTGTGGTACGAAGTAGTGTACCAATATTCAGCCCATGCAATCCACTTAGCCTATAACTTCGGTGTATCAGATACAAAACAACGCAAGTATGCCTCCACACTCCTGTTGACCACCTCTGTCTGCCCATCTGTCTGAGGAGGATATGCGATGCTCCTTTTAAGGACTGTACTTTCCAATCTAAAAAGCTCTTTTCATAAGTGGTTGTGAAATATCTTGTCCCTATCTGATACAATCAACTCCAGTACCATGTGCAAACAAATTACTTCCCGGATAAACACCGCCGCGAATGAGACCGCGGTGTAGGGATGAAATGTGCATATACTTAAGTGATCCCCGACAACCATGATCACCGTGAACCTTCATGATCTTGGCAACCCCTCAATAAAAGCCATCGTTACTTCTTCCCAAACCTTATCCGGTAATGATAATGGTTGTAGTAACCCCCCTGGTGCTATGATCAGGTGCTCGTGTCGCTGGTACACATCACATTTTGACACCATGTCCTCCCGTTTCTACACATCCCCACCGAATAAAGCTCTACCGCCAAATAACAATAGGTCTTCTACACCTCTGAATGTACCCCAACCGCACTATCCTGAAAATTTTATAATAATCTGAGAATATACTCCAACTACTTGGGTCACAAATCGCCCCCGGTGGAGCAGTTGTTGTCCCCTCAATTCATGTCCTGGATAACTGTTCGGATCTTGTAGTAATTCAGTCCTTGGTTTCCCCAGCTCCTCATCCCTTTTGTTCTCCTGTCTCAAGGCCTCCCAATCTAGGACCAAGGGTACCGATGGGGTTGTCAATTTGGGTTCCTCCACATTTATCGATAGTACGTCGACTGCCCTGTTCTCCAATTTTAGTTGGTACTAAATCTCGAAATCATACCCCAGTAGCTTGAATAGTCATCTCTGATGCTCCTCAGTCACCATCCGTTGCTCCATAAGATACTTTAAACTCCTCTGATCTGTCATGATTAAGAAATGCCATTCCAACAGGTAGGGCCGCCACTTCGGAATGGTCAACACAAATGCCATCAATTCCCGTTCATATATTGACTTCAACCTCGCTCTAGCTGTAAGGACCTGGCTGAAGTAGGCAATCATCCGTTGATCTGGCATGAGCACTGCTCTCAATCCGTGCCCAAATGCATCTGTCTCTACCACGAATGGTTTAATGAAATTTGGAAGTGCTAATATTGGTACGCTAGTCATGGCCCTCTTCAACTGTTCAAAGACTTGTTTTGTTGTTTCTTCCCATTTGAAATTGTCTTTCGTTAACTGCTTTGTCAGTGGTCAGTGGTCAGTGGTCATGCTATCGTGTCATATCCTCTTACAAAGTTTTAGTAGTATTTGGTGAGACCAAGGAGTGCTCAACTCCTTCAAATTACTTGGTAAGAACCAATCAACCATAGTTCAAATCTTGGACTAATCCACTGCCACGCCTGTTCTGGCCACCACATGTCCTAGGTACTCCGTTTGCAACTGTGCAAAAGAACATTTCTTCAGGTTGGCATACAACCGCTGCTCCCTCAACGTCTCCATGACTGTTCTTAGGTGCCCCACATCATCTATCTCTGTATGGATGTAAACCACAATATCATCAAAGAAAACCGGACAAATTTCTAGAGATTCGGTTAAAAAATTTTATTCATGAGGGACTGAAATATCATCGGGGCGTTGGTGAGGCCAAACGACATTCTAAGAACTCATAATGTACTTCCTATGCCCTGAAGGTTGTCTTGTACACACCCGCTGGATTCATCTTGATCTAGTGGTAACGCGACTTAAGATCAATTTTTGAGAACATGACCATCCCATAAAGCTCATCCAGTAACTCATCAATCAGAAGAATAGGAAATTTGTCCAACACCGTCTCTTTGGTCAAAGCTCGGTAGTCCACGCAGAATCTCCAACTACCATATTTTTTCTTCACCAATAGGACGAGATTGGAAAAAGGGCACACACTAGGCTTGATAATTCGCACCTCAAGCATTCTCTCGGATCAGCTTCTCGATCTCATCCTTCTAAATCTAGGGGCTATCTATATGGTTTGATGTTGATGGGGAAACACCCCCTTCAATGTAAAAGCGTGCTTGTGCCCATGCTCCCTCGGAGGAGGTAACCCACTTGGCTACTGAAAGACATCCGTAAACTGCTATAGAAGTTGTTGCACCCCTTCCGGAAACTCTATCAACTCTGAATCTCGAATCTCCTCAATGCTCTGCAACTCCACCAAGTAGCTCAGTCCCGCTCCCCGAATCGGCTTGATCATGGCTTTGAGCGATATCCTGGCTTTGCATAAGCCATCATCTCCTCTCAGCACCGCCTTCCGACCATCCACTTGGAATTCCATCAACAAGGACTTCCAATCCACCTTCATCTCTCCCAATCTTCGCAGCCACTTCATCCCCAAAATCACATCTATACTGCTCAAATTTAAAGGAACAAAGTCTTCCAACACCTGTAGGCCATGTAGTGTTAGAACTAGCCCCTTGCAAATTCCCTGACTTTTCTCAACCTTCCCTACCCCAATCATGACGCCAAAGCTCCCTATAGTCACACGCTTCAACCCTAGCTTCTCCACAACCTGATTTAAGATAAAGTTGTGTGGCCCCACTATCCATCAACAACACAACTAGTAGTTCCACGATCCCATTCTCTCACCTTCACAGCATTTGAAAACTTTCCTATTACGCTTTCTCTCGAAATCTCCTCTAATTTCTCCTCTTTGAATATGTGATTATGGCTCTAGTGGATCCCAACCCTACCTTTCCTTCCTCTGCGCCTCCCTCGGATCCCTCCCCTTCTTCCCGCAACAAATGTGGGCCTGCCTATGGGTCGGCTATGTTGCAATCGGCCGGTCCCTCCTGAGCCGGCACCCGCTTGGGCATACAGGGCGTAATAGATTGGTCCACACAAGCCCAAAGTGCCTACTAAGGGTTGGCCAATTAAAGCACAATTCGATTTTGATTAATCTAAATCAAGTGTGCACGGACTTCATTTGACTTTTTTTAGCCAATCCTTGAGTTTGCAGCACATATTACTAGTTTAGTCAAATCAAAGCCAAACTAGAGCTTAATAAAAAACTAAAATGGGCGTTTTTCTAAAGTTGCAAATTTGTGCTTGAATCAAAATAGCATTTCAATGAATAAATTTATAATTTAGCTAGTAAAGCACAAGAGTTGTTGATTCCATATTAACGTCATTAGTAGTCATACCATCTATAACAATTGATACTCGTTTAGTGCTCAAAGAGGCACAATATCTTCTGAAAACCCATTAACAAGTCCCAATCAACTTGGTTCCTTTTTTAGCAATTAGGAACAAAGTATATCAAACCAGCCAATGGATCTTTAACATACAAAGAATGCACAAAATAATGCGGTGAAGCAGGGACAAAAATTACATAATGGACAAAAAAATGCAGTGAAACAGGGACAAACATTACATAATGAAAGATTTATAACATACCACTCAATTCTTATGTATTTACATATCTAGCACGTAAACTACAATTTTTATATCTACGCCACATTACCTACACATATTAAAAGTTAAAATAGTGGTGTTTTTTATGTGAGATAAAAGGTTTGGGTGGTATAAATGTTAAAAACAAAGAATAGGTGTTAGATATATAAAACCAAAAGAATTAAGTGGTATCTGTGTATATGCCCCGCACATAATTTAGTTTAATTTACCTGATTCCAATGCTACGAACTAATCCTTTTGAAACAAGATCTTCCATTCCATGCCAAGTAGTCTCCAACGATATTGATGTGTCGATGTCTAGTACCCCATCTTCAGCAAGAACACTATCAGTAGTTCCAACACCTGCATTAGAATTGTTAGTTGCCATATCGAGTTTGTTGTGATAATCAAATCATTAAACAAATAAGAGAAAGATTCACCAGTGTGCCTTGTGGCTACAGGAAAGTGCACAAGATAAAGATCCAGATATTCAAGCTGAAGCTTTTTCAAACTATCCTTGCAGGCCTCAAGCACATGACCGTGATCTGAGTTCCAAAGCTGCATGGCAAACAAACTTGGGATGATGGTAATCTCCAAGAATTATGTTTGAGAACATCCATTTGCTAATAAATATCATGAGCTAACCTTCGTGGTGATGAAAAGCTCCTCCCTTTTTACAAGGCCGGTTTGGAATGCCTCAGCCAGTCCTTGGCCAACTTCAGATTCATTTTTGTAATCAGCTGGAAGGAAAAAAAAAACAAATATTGACGTTAAAGATGAAAAGAACAAAAATAAAGAGCCTTGACCACAGAATGCCTTGTTAATTTAGAGTGTAAGTTGGAAATGCTACTAGCAGGGGAGACAAGTGAGACACTTTGCCTTCAAGCTTTGTATGAAGCTCCTTTAAAGTTCTAATTAGCTTGACCTATAAAAGCACAAACTCTCATCCATCAAAAAGCTCACTTTGGCCAAATAGATTCATATTTTTATCCTTTTGACGCAAACATACTGAGAAAATTGCCATCCTAAGAATGCTCCAGCATGAGAAAGCTAAACTTTATAATTCTTGAAGAAACAATGATTATTAAATCAAAAGCCACTTTGACATTTCAGAAGCTTTTCTTGACTATATTTAGGAAAAAATTATAATCTTCATGACTCAGAACTACAATCCTCGCCAAAAGCCTTAATAAGTGACCTTATGTTTAGCGAAGTAGAAGTCTTACTTGTCAAGGAACATCTAGGATTGCATGAAGGGAAAGAAAATTATAGTTACCATTTAGAAAAAAATGGGAAAGTAAGGTCTTTATATTATGAATTAAGATAGGTTTATAATAATAGTTGGTTATTTTTTTAATAAAATTTAATAATTTTAAAATTATTAACCATAATCTACATCAACTTTAATGGAAAAAAAATTAATTTTAATGTCTTTAAATTAAATATTATTAATACTAATTTTTTTACTTCAACAAACCCAAAAAAAATAACACTAATAAAAAATTTAAAATATAACTAAATTAACTAATATATTTAAAATATTTATATAATTAGAATATTTATATAATTAAATTATTATAAATAAACACATTAATAAAATAAATACGTAATTGATAATTAATCCAAAAATATTCAACATATTAAATTATAATATTTTGCTCTTAAATAAGTAATTAAACATTTTATATTTAATAAAGATTTAATTAAATAATATGCAAGTTATCATTAAGTTTAATATAAGACTTTAACAAATTATTTGTTGAACGTTAATAAAGATTATTGTGAACATAATTAAACGAGTTAAATTATATTCAACCTTGGTTCATTTAGCCATTCATTTTTCAAAAAAAAATTCAAACGTGTTTTATTATTAACTTAAAAGAATTTGAACAAATAATAACAAAGTTCAAATTATTCATCAAATACATTCATTCATTTACAAACATAATAGCATGACATGCTTTCAAAAATATGGCATAAATGTTTATAAATGGAATGTATCATTACTTAAGAGAAACTCCTGAACATGGAATTTGAAATGACCTAGAATAAGATGGAAAAAGCAGCTCTCGACAAAGTTCTCAAAAATTGATGTTCCTAAGTGGCAGGCCTACCACTAAGCAGAATTTAGATGTTGATCTCTACTTGGTCAATTCAAGATTAAGCAAAGCAAGAGCCAAGTCCATTTGAAAGTGCACTTAATGTCAAATAGAATTGATGCAAAAGGCTAAGAGCTCTTGGCTTTAAAAGCTTATCCTTAAACTTAATCAAGAGAATGCGGCTTCAATGATTTTATAGGATGTATATAAAGTAAAAAATAAGGACTACCACAAAACTTCACTCTCATTTAGAAACATTATGTTCCCACTTTTAGATAGGGGTGTACATTATTTGGTCAAAACCAAAGAATTAAATTGAACCGAACAAGTTTGGTTTGAGTCGTTTTAGTTACAAATATGCATTTCAGTTCTTTTTGCTTTTAAAATCTTAATATACAGTTTTTGGTTTTTAGTTTGATTTTAATTTTCATTTAACCAAATAAACTGAAAAAAACCTAAATAGGATTCAATTGAGAAAAAGGATTCATGTAGCCGACCCACGTAGTGGGAATTAGCCAGCCGTTTTCATAGAGAGTCTCAGCAGACACTAGATTAGCTCTCCTTTGCTGCGAGATCCGGAGTTCTGATTCTGGGTCTACTCTTGACTCCAACTTTCTTCTATGCGTATTACGCTTTTGAAGACGTTTTTGCAGTTCATGAGCCAACCTAGATCTCATTCTGTACCCCCGAATTTGATCATCAATGGTTGGCGTAGGTGCGGGTGTGATGCTAGAATTTCTGGTGGATTGGTTGCGGACAAGGGAAGTGGTACTCCTGGACAAATCAAAGACGGTGGAAGATAATGAACAAAGTTCATTCACGGAAGGCAGTGGGATTGAAGGTCCGATAGAAAAAGGAGGACTACAGAAGACAGAAGATGGACCAGATACCCTAAATCCTAAAACCGAAATTTTTTTTAACGAAGCTGCGGAGGAAAATGACGGCTATACTAAGAAGGCTTCGAAAAGCTATCAACAAAACTTATGGAAACGATATCAGAATGGTGATCCTACAGTAGGACCACTAGGGCATCCAAGTGAAAGCTATGATTACCTAATTGAATATTCCATGAAGAATGACACACCAATCATCACTACAGGATGGGGTGATGAAGATGATCAGCCACAAATAAATGAAGTGGTAAACCTATATTCAACTCCACCACAGCCAGAGCTAATTTCTGAAACACCACATATCTCAAAAGACCTTTCTAAACCCATAACTCCACCTCCCAAGGAGCCAATTCACCTGACAAATGAAATAGCATTACCCAGCATCAAAAGCCAGCTTGCTGACTTAGATTACCCGAAATTGCGAAAACTTGCTGACAAAGCTGAAAACCTATACGCCTCAGTATCCTCATCTCCATACCTCCCCCCCAATGAACCTGTAATGGGACCAGTCTCTTATCCTCCAGCCACCGTTCGACCACAAGTTGAACCTTCATTTGCACAATCAAATTCATTCCACCAATTCAGAAGTCGATCTTCGGACTTCAGAAGAAGTTATCAGCAAAACATGTGGACCCTCCCATCAGCCAACAATTCACAAGGAGTCTTGCTGATACTACCGGACGACTTCTCGCTCTATGAAAGTCACGATGGGAATCCATCACCTTAAACCTAGTAAACTATAAACAATTCCAGGACAATAAGGCAAAAGTGATGTTCATTGAGAATCTACTTGGAGAAGTAGAAAAGAAGATTTGGATCCGATAGAGAATGGCGTATGTAAAAGAATATGAGGCCCTTGTCAACATAGCAGATGACCCTCAAAACGTCATCTCCCAGATAAGGTGCATTATACTTCTCGAAGATCCGTATCAAGGATCAACGAAAGAGCAAAATAAGGGTTTTCGGGATCTAGAAATGCTATCATGCCACGAGATAAAGAATAAGTTCGAGTACATGAACGACTACAAAGTACTTGCTGCAAAATCAGGTAAAATGTACATAAATTCTGAACTATCCAAAAAATTCTTTAGGAAAATGCCTCCAATCATTGGCAATGAAGTCGAAGCCGCCTTCAAAGCCAAGCACTCGTTCAATACCATAGGCATCCTGCCCAGAATTAGATTTACACATCAATATCTGGCTGACATATGCAAAAAGACTGCAATCCAGAGGAGGATAAAGGATCTGTCAATCTGTAAAAAGATCTCTGTCCCAGGGTACTACAATAACCATAAGAAATATGGTTTGCGTAAATTAAGAAACTACAAAGGAAAGCCGCATGACACGCATGTCCGTGTCATAAAGAACAAAAACAAACCAAGAACTTCAAAGTGTCGTTGCTACATCTGTGGGGAAGAAGGACACTTTGCAAGGGAATGCAGAAGCAAACTAGGAAATATGGCTCGAGCAGCCAGCCTCAGCAATCTGAACCTGACCAAAGATTACGACGTATTATCAGTCGACCTTGACAAGGAAGCGTCAGACGCCATTTGCAGCATCTCCGAAGGGGAAGGTATGAATACCCTCGCGCATGTTAAGCATGCATTGAAAGACTTACCTCCAGAAGACTACATCTTCATGATGAAAGAGAAGGACTACGGGTGGCGCTCTTTCATCCGCTTACCAAAAGAACAAAGTATGTGCTCTCACAACTGGGAACAGAACAAGCCCATACAGGGGTCGTTCCTACATTGCTCCTATTGCCGTATAACTACCAATTTTCAAATGATGATACATCGCATCACTTGCAAACTCACAGCTTGCCCAATGTGTGCAAAATTTTACCTGACAATTAACATTCAAAAGGAAGTCGTATTGCAAACATTACCAATCAAAAGGACACTTTGATCCAGGAATTGCTAAATTACTTAAGCTTCCTAAAGGAAGAGAATAAAAGACTCCAGCAAAGATTGCAGGAGATGATTGCAGAAAAACTAGTAGAAGAAAGAAAAGAGCTCCTCGAGCGTGACAGAATGAAAGGACTCCGCATAAATGAAGAAAAAGAACGGGAGAAAAGTACTGTGGCGAAATTCTTCAATGAATATGTGAAAGAACAGGTGCATGCAACACCAAAACAAATCCTCAACTGATTGTTCAACCTGGTCGTAGAATTCAAAATACCGGGAGTAGAAATCTTCAGCCTGAAGGCTATTGTCGATACTGGCGCAACCTCTTGTTGTGCAAACACAAAGAACATCCCCGCTGAAGCAATTGAAGAGCTGACTTACCAAGTCTCCTTTAGCGGAGTCAACTCAACAATCAACACCAACCGAAAAATTAAGGCAGGTACGATGACCCTTAACGAACATAATTTTCGAATACTTAATCTACTGCCTAGAGATGGATGTCAAGGATGACATCCAAATGCTGTTGGGGTGCAACTTCATCCGAAGCCTGAACGGAGGAATGCACATAGAAGGAAATACGATGACCTTCTACAAGGGAATCACTCAGATCAGGACCACATCAGACGTGGAAGTAGCAGCCAAACAACTACAAGAAATGAAGATCAGCTACGAATTTTACCGTGAACTTCAACCGGAGTGGATATTCACGCAGAGGATACAAGATAATTCTTTCTTAAAGAAATTCAGAACACTATTCCAACGATTGCAAGAGCAGGGGTACATTGGTGAAAACCCTATAAAACACTGGAGCAGAAATGGAGTCGTCTGCAAGATCGAGATA